ACGACAATTCCATCAACACTATAGAACAGAAATGACTTTTGATTTTAAACGATTTAAATTATTTAGTAACAGCTGTACCTAAATAATTCAAAAACAGATCTTCATTCCAAGAATTAAAGAAATTTTCATGCTTCACCACAGCTCTCGATCATCATCGAATTAGCACTAACGCCACCTTCTGGCTTCTCTGATTTGAATAAAAAAATTTGATCCTTCAAATTTTGTAAATACAATAAAGAATCTTATTTATCAATAAGTTTTTCAATTAAAAAATTTATAACGTTTGGATATTTTTGATGTGGTAAATGTCGTCCATCTTTTGTCATGATTTTTGTCATCGGATTATTAAGCAAATAATTATTGTCGATTATTTTCGGATCATCTTGATCGATAATGATTGGTTGAACATTTTCGATGTTTAATAATCGGTATAACTCTTGTTGAGCTTTTTTCGATATAACATTCTCATCAAATGAATACATAATAAAACCGGATAATTTCATTTCTCTCATTGATTGAATTCTTGAATGTGAATCTTTAACAGCTTGTATATCCAAAAAAACTGTGGATAAAAGAAAAAATTCGTCCATTTCTTGAAACTTTAAAGGTATGCCTGTGGCTTGATGAGCTTTTTTCCAATCTAATAGGCGAGAAAAAAATCGAGTTTTCGATAATCTAAGCGTCTTTTTTGAATTTTTGTGTAATCTTTCCTCAAGACCGTCTAAGAAAAATTGTGGTGCAATCAGTGCTAATGATTTTATCTGTAAACCTTTTGGTTTTTCCAACAATACTGAAGCTGGTTGACCTCCAAAAGAATGAGTAACCAAACAATCGATTGTGTCAACATTTAAATTGCGAAATAAATCCTGTAATAAATGATATTTTTCATCGCTTGAATGCCAGAATTTGAATTTAGTCGCTCGTGTTTGACTGAAATCGGGAAAATTTGGCATAACTAGTCGCACATCTGATCGAAATTGAAAATGGTGAAACAATAGATTAAATGTTCGAAAACTATCAGCCAAACCATGAAGAGCCACGATAGTTTTTTTCGGTTTTTGATTTGGTTGAGTATCAACATAATTGATGGTTATATCAACACCTTGGATAGGTGATCTCCTATAAAATTGACGGTATCGTAAACGTAGTTCATCATAAACATTGATACAAGTACGAAATTTGATTGTTTTGATATATTCACTTGGAATCGTTGCAGTTGTCGAAAATCTTAACCGTTGACATAGATTAATCTTGGCCAATAATCGATACTGAAACATCGTAGAGATGTTCAGAATTTTTTCGATTTTTAAATGAGGATAAAATGGTCTATTTGTGAGTTTAAATAATGTTGTATACAACCATTTTAACAGAAATATTGTGTAATTAAATTATTCAAAATATTGTAATATAATTCTGCCTAAATAATTCAATAATAAACGTTAATAAATAACTTTATTTCCTTTTCAAAGAAATTTTGCAATTTCCATGTCAAGAAATTGCAAAAATTGTGACATTTTTTTCAAAAGTATCGAATAGCTATCGATAGTGTTGTTCATCAT